AAAGTGTAACGAATAAGATTTTAGCTTCATCTCCCCCCTTAACCTTATCGGTCAAGCTATGGATATGTAAGGTTATACTAATCTTGTGGACACAAAATGAGTTAATGAACAATTAAGGCAGCATGTTATAATCAGATTTCACTTTCTTGGATTTATTTTAAACTAAATTTTCTCGAAGTTATGTTGACAATTTTTTAGTATTGAATGTTAGGTAGTGAATTGTGTCGGTGGCATCCCAAAATCATAAAAGAACCCTTCTGATTAGAGTTGGTAAACTTCAATAATAATGGATTCAATGTACAATCTGTAAGCATGCTTGACTAAGGCTTGTTTGGCATTGCTTTTGAAAAGTCAAAAGTTGCTTTCGAGATTAAGAAGCTAGTTTGTACATGTTTGGATAATTCTCTGGAAGTATTTTGTGTGACTTGGCATCGGAAGTATTGTCAAATGGGTCCTAAGATCAGAAAAAAAGTAATAGTGGCTTTTAAGTAAATTTCTATTTAAGTAAGTAAAAGTTACTTTTAAGTGATATTAAGTTACTTATTTTGCTAGTATTCTTACCTTACATTCCAGTTTTGACTGATATAAAAGTTGTTTTATGTAATCATAATTAATTATGTACTTTTAAGTCAACTTTATAAGCTTAACCAAACATGTTGAATCCATGTTATGGAAGATACATACAATTCCAGCCCAGCCTTAGCTGTGAATTTTCTTTATGTTCTATGATTCTTTACTTCTATGCTGAGACCAGCCTGTCTTTTGACTTATTCTTATGGTTTACACTTTACAGCACATGTACATTCAGATATCAGAATTTGACCTGCTATTATTTCATTCTCCTTGATATTTCACATTTCTACAAGCTTTTAGACTATGTCGTTTAATACCATACTAGGGGACTCAAAATGTTCCTTGTTCAAGTTATCTTACCTTGACATGACAAAAATATAACATATTTGTCACTTCCGTGACAGTCAAAACTTTTAGATAAGACCGTATTTGTCGCCCCCTTTGGTTATGACTACATCAATAATATGCTTTTTGATGTCGAACATGTGAAGAAACTAATGTCATGTTTGAGGAAAGTTCTGGTAGGTTGGTCTTACATGCATTTGTGGTAGAATTGTTCATTCAAATCATGACACATTCGATCTCGAGCCACTCAAATCGGACAACCTTAGCATGGCTTGAGTCTTATTATCGTGATTTGAATGTAGAGTTCTATCACATGTATATATAGAATCGTCCCACCGTAACTTTTCTCGTTATAGGTACTAAAAAAAGGAAAATGAAATTTTATTAGTCATACATTCGAGCTATTTTTTAAGTTGTTCTTGTATTAGTAGTTGACTGACTCCCGGAGTTTGTTCTGATAAATGCAGGGAAGTTAATGGAGGTGACATGCAGTGTGCTTGGGGCCATTGGTCATTTTTCTAGCTGTCACTGAATTATTACTCAGAAAAATCTGAAAAAAAAAAAAGAAAAAGAAAAATAAGAATGCAAGAGAGTTTTCTTGTTGTTTTTTGTTATAAATAGTAATGTAATTACATAATCCATTTTTTATTTTATTTTTTGTATTAAAATTGTGTATGCTCTAATAATATACCATACTGTTTTGAGTCTCTCTCTCTCTCTCGGTGATGTGCCTTGTGTTTTTGGAATAAGAAAAATTCCCTGTATATTCACAGGCACCATTTTTTTTGTCTGTTTTGATGAAAATTAATAAAAAATTGACAAGTGTCCAATCCGTAAAAATTTTGTCAATAGATTCGCGAACTTGCAATAGGGTGTTTCTTGCGTTTGAAATTGATAATTATAAGTGAAAAATAACTTTTTGAAAATGCGTTCGAGAAAATTGTATTAAATAATTATTTATATATATGGTACAACATGCCAAAGAATAATACTATCCAGCATAAGTAGTGTCCATCTAAGTGATCGTATTTAATATGTTTAATTAAATGAATTATGGACATTGTATTTAAATAAATTTATCATTTACTGACATAAAGTTGTCACCGAGAGTAGTACTTGAATAGCTGTCAAACTATTAAAAGGGATTTGAGGTTAACATTTTATTATTTAATTAGTTTTTAAGTTTATAAATATTCGAGTTAATAAGGACATTTGAGTATTTTGTTGTTTAAGCATATATACTTAATTTAGCAGTACTGCAATTTTACGAAAATATGTAATATTTAATTGTAAATACAAGAAAAAAAAAAGTAACATTTTTTTTGTTCAAGCACGAAGCATGTAACAAAAGTTAATTTACAAGTTTTCCACACTTATACGTTGAAACAGTGTTAGGCCCTGTTGATTGCAACGAATATCATTAAAATATCACATTTGAGGAAAATGAATTCCACTTTGGCCGTTTGATTGCAACGTGGAAATGAAAATCGAATTCCAAGGTACAACTACTTTAAGCTGCATTTTCTTTGTTTTCATAAAAAAAGAATTTATATGGGTTTGGTAAATTTTTATTTTCTAACTAACATGAAATTGGAATTTTTTTCTACATTTGCCTATCAAACGGACCCTTATTGAAAATGCAAGCCTAAATTAAGCTCGAGGAAGATAGGCTTCAAGAAAAGTATGATCCAATTGACAATATATTAAACTTTATTAG